AGGAAGTACAAAATATGAAAGCTTTCTGTATGATGAACGTCGAGAAATTAGATTATAATTATGCAGTGCTAAAGAGACGCGATGAGGAAAATACTATAGTGAAGAATCAGCAGAAAAGAAAAATTAACAAGTGCGTATATACCAAAATTAAAATATTTATTCGATTTCAAAATAAATAATCTGATAATTTAAAAATTACTATTGAGCATTTTCAAAATGAATAGGATTAAATGATAGATAAGTTAAATATATTTACATTTCAGATTACAGGATGTTATTAATGATTTAAAAAAAACTTACTCAGGCTTGGAAGAATCGTCGAGAGCGGAAATTCAAAAGTTCACGAATCAAATGTTAAAGATGCACCAAGCTATACTAGACCTAGAGGAAAAATCCAACTATCTCGCGACCATCAACGATAAAAGATATATGCAAATATGGGACATGAATATTAAAACTGCGAACGAATTGATCGACAAGGTACGGTAACAATGTGTAATTAATGAGAATAGTTCTGTCCGATGACTGTATATTTCAGATTTTAACGGCAGATAGAATTATACACGAACAGTTGTTAATAATGGAATGGAAACCGCCAGAAGAACAGTTATGGAAGAAGGAAGATCTACCCTCGTATTGCGGTGCGATGTGTGCCTTAAAAGCGGGTAACGTTCGTTTAAAAATCAATGTTCAGTTATCAAAGGATATATAATCAATAAACTTTGTTGTTCATGGTTTAAGAGCGAGAGGAAACGAGAAAAAGAAAGATGATTTCTAAATCATATAAACCAGCAACTAGTTTAGACGACATCAATTTAGAACGAAGGTTATTGAATCACATTCTTAAATTGATTTCCGATCATTGTGATTACCTTATCGAAGATACTTTAAAGAATTTACTTTCTGATTACGCCGAAGAGGATAAACTACTGATTCGATTGGATAAAGTATTCGAGGTGATCATTCTTGTACACGCAATTACGCTGTTATAAATTATATATGAATGTGATTAAATTTGCAGGCACTAAAAATTACGTCGGAAAAAGAACTTCAATTTTTACTGAACTTCTTTTTACCATATGCACACTGTCCCACTTGCACGATTAAAGTTGTAAGCACACCGAGTATTTGTAGACAGTCTGGAGAAGCTACGGAAAGTTCTTCATCTCTGTATGTGAAGAATATTGTTTATCTTTAAAAAGGATTTATAGGTTTAATATAACATATAATAAAATTGTAATAAAGATTTCGAAAATAAATATTTCAGAACTACTTTGCCGGACGTTTGTGGTAGCGACACTCTCAATGGGGAAGAAGTTAAACTAGTGGCAGCTGTGGCAGGGGCACTTTGTTGTGAAAAGCTGCCTGAAGGAGATGAATGTGAAAGTGAGACTGTTTCGAGTAGAAATGAAACAGAATCTCGTTCAAATGAAATACCGTCAGAAAATGTACACGTTGAGTCGACTTGTGTATCTGAAGGCATTGTCGAAGTTACCGATAGTATGTAACATATTCATTAATCAATTTATCAAAATAGCAATTATTATTTAATAATTGTATGTTCTATTACATTAGTATTATTCAATTATGATTAGATACTAATCTATTATCTTAATTTTCATTATTTTTATTCATTAGAGAAAACTTAACATATTTTCGTGGTATTTGGTTATATATCATCTATGTAATAAAATACAATGACAAATTATTCTACTCTTTATCCATTGTTGTGTCGCTATTATTGTTTATTAGTTTTTATTTTTGCAGAGGACGGTGCTTCGAAACGATTACTTACATGCGACAAAGGCCATTTATTGGCAGTTGAAACTGAATATGTTTCAAGTGCATTAAAAGAATTTGTAGAAAAATATGAATTTGTTAAGAAGGAAATTTTCCCTAATAAAAAAATATTTAAAGAGAAAACCACAGTATCGCGCAATATAACTGATCAAGATATAACCGAATTTTGGAAACGTTATCGGAATATTTTCTCAAAAGATAAAGAAAGACTGTGGGATAATTTACTGGTTGGTCTTAAAAAGTATTATGGTGTGTTGAAGGAGAGACATCGATTAAATACTGAAACTCGATCTTTACGAAAACAGAATACTGAAATGCGCCGTTTATTAAGTAAACATACAACAGAGGTAATATTATATAATAACTAAAATACCTTATTATTAATTTATAATTATATTATTGAATTTCAGCCTGAAACAATAAATTGAAAGGAAAATGTAATTCCTATTTATAGGATTAATAAAGATTATAAGTTATTATTACTTACAATATCATATATTTTTCCATTAATTTTTGAATGGACATATATACATTCATACAATGCATTCATACCCTTTTGCACTATTTCAACTAATATTAAAGACATTGTCCATAATTAAATCATATGTTATTTTCTAACATGATAGCTACATTTTGTACAATTTATTTTTCAAACATTTATTAATCATTAAATACATGTAATGAAAAATTTTTAGTTAAACCAATTGAGATTCAATTACATTTACTTTCTAAAGAAATAGTGCGAACAGGGAGGTATATATCTTAACATAATAGAACCTTAAATTATTATGAAAAATTAAAAAATGATACATGACATTGTGTATGTACTTATATTTTATATACGTAAGTAAATCTCTTAGTGACCAAAATTTAAATATCAAATTGATTTTGATATTTGAAGCAATATAAAATAAAAAAAATTGTTCCTTTTATGAAGAATAAAATATATGTATCTAAATAATTCATATGTATATTAAAATAGACATATTCCTCCTTTTACACTATATCCCTATGTCTGATTTGTGAAACCTCCTGATACAAAGTTATTTGACAATGACTGAACAAGATTTTTAGGATTTACACCAGATTTAGGTTTTTTCCAATATGGGAAAAATCTCTTCTTCTTTTGAGTTTTAGCTTGTTTTAATTTACCAGTATGCTTTTTTGATGTCATATGCTATAATATAAAATAAATTCTATTATTAAATGATCAATAATATTTATTTGCATTCTTTTATTAATAAGTATAACATACCACATTATATTGTGCCACCGAATTGAAGATCTTGTTACACATACTGCATGATAGTGATACGCCTTTAGGTCCTGAGTTTTCTTGGATATTCATGGTGGTTGATGTCACTGAGCTGCCAACATCTTGGCCACCCCACCCACCTAAGCATCAATGTGCGATCAACACTATCTATGTATCACAACCGCTGATGCGGTTAAATGTGATAATAAATCAGCTTGAACACTACATTCATGCTATGGAAAAAGCAACCATTAATACAAATATTTTTAACAAAAAAGCATCAAAAGTTTTGAAGATACACATGTGTCTATACATGTATATAACAAATTTGACCTTTTGAAAATAAATATTACTTCATACACATAAATAACTGCATCAAATTTTTTGTTTTTTTATCTATATTAAATGGTTGAGGAAAGATATAAATAGCATAAAAAATTTATATATATTATATAAAAATAAACTAACAATTACTTTTAACTTTCTTAAGCAAAAAGAATTATAATTATTGATAAAAAAAACTATAAGATATAGCAAAATACATTTACATATACATTAACGAAAGGAATACAATGGAACTGAAAAGGAGTAAAATTGTTATGTAAACAATATTGATTTTATTAATCATTATTTGCAACTAGGCAACTCATAATCGAGTTATTATTTTGACAGTATGCTGAAGGACAAATCAGTAATAAATATTAAATATACAATTTTAGTTTCAAAGAAATAAATAACAATAAATACATAATAAATAAATAATAAATAATAAATAGCAACTAGTGACGCATAAAGTATAACGAACATGAAAATATCACTAAGCATTTCATAGCGATTGGTGAATTAAAGCTTTTAGATAGCAGGTGATTAATTTCTTATTAGCTCATAAGAATATATGAAAAAAAAAAGTAAGCAAGAATAGTATGCATGCAAATGTACACAAAAATAGGCAATAAATTAGTACAATAACATTCTGTTCTATTAATTTTTCCATACACATAGTGCGACTACATCTAAACCCATATGGTAGCATTTTTCGTACCATATAAGGTTTATTACCTCTCACAGCTTTTTTTTTGTGCCGGATCCCTACAGGAAACAAAAATTATTTAACATATTATAAATATATAAATGATTAAAGTAAATCTTAATCTGTAAAATACCATTCAAATGTGTTTGAAGTTGTTGTATTGAGTTTAGACACACATTACACACATTGCATTTTAATCCATTTGTTTCTTCATCTTTTGTAAATGTTACTTTGGTTTCTTCAAGAGATGCCATTATATTTTTGGATCTAATCTGTAAAACAAATTTATGTCTCTACATCTCTGATTTCTGTTATTCTTTTATGTCAGAATTTATGAATAATTATCTGTATTGTATGTGTGTTGTCTCATACCTCAACTTTTTATTTTTATATTTAATTAGTTTTTCTTTTTTTTGTTGTTTGACTGATACAAACCTGTTTAGCATGGCGTGCTCCCTGTAAATGTGTATCTAATACTGTTTGACTGGTAAATGAAAGATCACAATCATCACACCGAACAAGGGGTTTCTTCGTAGGTAAATTTCCCATTATGTTATCAACCACAGCTTTGGTTACAGGGTCATTGAGGCCAGGATTCATTACACCTTCTGATGAGACAGCCATTTTTTAAACTATAATTTTAGTAGATAAATTAATACCTTTGCTAATAATTAAAATTAAATTTTTTTTACAATAACATAAAAATTAAAAACTACAGTTATCTAATATTCTATTGAAATTAAAATGATTATAATTTTTCAAAAATTATGGAAGCAAACGTGTATAAAATATATTAATTAGAATTAGAGATTATTGATATTATCGAACATTATCGAAGATATTAATATCACTTTTATGAATTATGCATATAAATATATTGTTCACGCATACCTATTAATTGTATGTTATAGATTAGAGTCAGATTTACTAATGTTTAGCTTATGTAGTAAACTTTACACTTTTTCAATGAATCTCGAAATATAGTTAGTAGGCAGTAATGTTTATACATGAATTGCTCTTTCAATACATTTCACACAGGTTTTCGGGTTGGTTGCCTGCTTTTTTTAGGAACATTATATTTGAGTATTACGAGTTCAATGTTACGTTGGATAGGGCCTAATAGTTCCTAGAATGTCGTCACTCAAGGCGCGTTTAGTATTGTATCGCGTATTAAAATATTGCGCACAATTAATTTAGTAGACACTTGAAATTAATTATCGATGTTATATTTATGTAGAAACTCTGTTTTACCAAGTTGATTTGACAAAGTTATGATGAAAATACAAAGGAAAATACGTAAAAATAGTACCATAAATTAATATTTTATAATATTTGAATACTTTTATAAACAATTTTTTTTTCATAACAAATTTCAAATATAAGTATCATTTATATAGCAAAGTATTCAACTTTCACTTTTAAACGAGTTGTATCTATATCATATCGCCTATATATTTCTTTATTTTGTGAATTATATTTAAAAATCTGGAATTATATATTTTATTTACGAAATAAATATAAATTTTCAATTTAAAAAAGTTGAGATAAAAGTATCAAATTTATCAAAAGAATTTATATTTATATGTAATTTTTGAATAAATATCCACTGACTTAACAAACAACTTGATTTCTATTGAAAAAAATTAAAGTTATTTATATTGAGAAAGTTTGTCCATTAAATATGCATAAAATCAAACAGGTGAATAAAGCTTTGCGAGAGATCGATCCAATCAGCGGTTTTCGAAGTGCGATGTTGGTCGTGGTAGAGCATAATATTCGCGGTTTAAGAAGGGCAGCCAATTAGAAAAGTTGGCGAATATCGTCCGTCGGTACTTAGGTGCGTGTGTTTGTACGAGTGCATATAGGTGACGGTCGCGAAATATAGTAGCAGCCATCTTATATTTTGTGTCGGAGAAAAACAATTTGGCCGTACAAATGTTTCGTGATTGTCCGTGAAGCCGCTCGAGAACGGGAGGCGTGCGCTCGATGAGGCGTGACGTTTTTCGACCCTAGCCCGGACCACTACATTAGCAAAGGTTCGTAGAATGCTGCTTTCTTGCTCGGCTACAGCAAAAGCGACCCCCACTTGCGAAGCGCTTACGAAGAATCCGGTTTCGCAGTCAAAATATTCCGCCGTTTCTCCCGTCGCTTTTTTAAAAATAGAGTTGCCCGTGTTGCTCACTGCTGGGTTACGTTCTGTTGACGACGGCATCGTACCGTCTTCGAGTGCTTCGCGTAAAAGTTATGCAATCAGCTGATCATCCAGCTACCTTCTGTCATTTGTCAAAGATAAATGTCAAAGCGATTGGTCTAACCTGACACGCGTATATATGAGTCGGGCATGCATGATACCGGAATTACGAGTGTACCTACATCGTCGCAAATTTTTGCGCCACAACCAGTGTCATAAATGGCGATTTATAGAGGTTCCCTGTCATGCAGGTGGATTGGTACGCAGGATATGAGCAGCTTGTCAAGCGCAACCTGACTCTGCTCCCCCATCAAGAAGCAGTGCAGCAGCAGGAGCCACAGTCACAACAGCTGGCTCAGCAGCAACAGACTGATATAATGACGTCCATGTTTGAACAACAAATCAAAAGCGAACCCATAGGGTTTTATTCTGTTGCTTCAAGTCGTTCGGATGGTTCAAATTCTATGGTGAATTTATCCGATGATCGTGAAGACCTGTCACAACAAGAAGGTCATTTACAACCCCAGCAACAGACAACACTACAACTAAACCAACAGGGTCAACAGCAAACTCAACAACAGAGTCAGCAACAAACGCAACAGGGTCAACAACAGCAGAGTCAGAGTGTGCAACAAGAAGTTCCAAGCCGTCAGTCGACGGGACAACAAACAGTTAAAGAAGGTTCGCGGTCAAAGCCACAACCCTGTAAGGTATGCGGCAAGGTGCTATCTTCTGCTTCATCGTACTATGTACATATGAAACTTCATTCGGGCAACAAACCATATCATTGTACAGTATGCGAAGCAAGTTTTTGCCGGAAACCATACTTGGAAGTGCACATGAGGACGCACACAGGAGAAAGACCTTTCCAATGTGAGCTGTGCTTGAAAAGGTTTACTCAAAAGAGCAGTCTTAATACTCATAAACGTGTGCACACAGGAGAAAGACCATATGCCTGTGACATTTGTCAGAAACGTTTTGCAGTGAAAAGCTACGTGACAGCACACCGTTGGAGCCATGTTGCTGAAAAGCCTTTAGTGTGTGACAGATGTTCTCTCACATTCACGTCCAAGAGTCAATTCGCAATACACATCCGTACCCATACTGCAAGTACTACGTACGAGTGTAACATATGCGGACGTACATTTGTACGTGACAGTTATCTCATACGGCATCAAAACCGAGTGCACCGTGATATGAATCAAAGCAGTACCAATCACAATCCACCTACACCCCAAAGTACCGGTGGTGGCACACCAGGTACAGGGTTCGAGAGTCCAGTTTGTGATTTACGCTACAGCGAAGGACCTTCGTCGTTGGACGGCTTAGCAGGTTCTAAAGGAGGCATCGCAGCTGAAATTGCAAGTTTAGCCAAGCAAAATAATCTTCAACTTCCTCTACCACTGCTACATCCGCAGACTACCAACTAGTGTTTAGATGACAGCGTGTCCGAGTCCCTACCGCAACATCAATCACCGCAGCAAGTAGTATGTCCCACCTCGGCGTCTTCGCCATTCACACTTAATTCACCTGTGTCTCACGTGCACACTACACCGCAGAGTGTCTACCAAACGACAGGCTCCTCCAGTTCACTGGATAGCCTCAACTCCCAACTTTATCCGCAAATATCATCCCCCATAGATTCATCGGAGTCGCATCATCAATCGCAGCAACTGCATCGCGGCATTAAAATACGAGCTCTCCTATCTCGTACCCCGAATATATTCAACGCAACAATGAATAGTCAGTTTATGCCAGCAATCACGATTTTTACCACGAACGGAGTGACGATTCGCCACACGCGAGCACCCCAACGCAGACTCTTCGATCGCGTGTCATTTAATGGTGCTGGTTAAACAAAGTGCCTAAAGAGCATCCGCTTTCTGGATCACGACGGATGCTTACACAATCGTGGATTAACGATACTAAAGAATTTTTACGCACCGATTTTATTTCCATTTTTTAAAACGGAGATCAGTGGATCAATTGTAAATTGACTACCATTTTGCACGTGTCTCACTGGATGCTTCTTGGTCCATTTAATGGATTCTACGTTCACGAGCGTATTTTAACGAGAATTAAATAGCACCGTTCGAAGGGACGTGCACACACCGCCACGATCGTTGGGCCCGACGTTTCCTCGATCGCTGGATTTTCCTCGTTTTATCCATCTGTCGTGGTATATCGATGTTAGCATAAACTAACGCGCCAATGTTTCTACAAGAGTTTTCCAAGTTTCCGCACTTCTTGATTTACCTGTTTTTCAATCACATCTGCGAGTACATATATATATATCTATGTGTGTATATATATTATGCGCGAACCATTACACATACACATATTTATATTATATTTTTAAAGGAGTTTAGTCACTTGGATCTGTGATATAGATAGTAATTATTATCTACAACGTTTAAACTATTGGTTTACTATTTTGATGATATCAAAACGAGGGAAAAAAAAAAAGAAGAAAGCAATGTCACGAGGCGATCTAGCTATCAGAATTTAACGGACATTGGTCTCTACCGAAGGTGTTTGGTAGACACCCTACTATTTCTTTTAAAAACAAACAAGTAAAAACAGGAACATTACTGTTACTAATGCTACTATTAGTACTACTACTATAACTACTACTACAACTACTACTATTGTTATTATTACTACACTATTAGTACTACTACTCTTACTAATACTATCACTCTTACTCTACTACGATCACGACCATCACCACTGACATGTCCCCAACTATATATTACTCTCGCTATTATTACTACCACTACTACCACTAACACCACCTCTACTACAACTGTTATTCTTATTATTATTCTTAGAAACATGCGAATGTTACTTCATTTTGCTAACATGCGTAGCGCATGTACTCATAGGGCCTGTATTCCAGTCGTCATGGTTTCTCTTTAACTTTTAATTTTCGTTCCCTTGTTCTTTCATTTCCCTCCCCTCTACCTATTCTCCTCCTTCTCCATTTTATTTTTCTCTCCCCCCTCCCCCCCATCTTTTGTCCTTTCATCTTAACCCTCTCCAACTAATTTTTCCGCATACCTTATCTTTGAGCGTGTCTGTGAACAATGGAAGCGTATCAAGGTGCCGGTATACATTTTATCATGTAGGACTATTGTACAGCTTTGAATCAGTTCCATAGGTGTACTTACTTTTCACATATCGAAGTGTATTGTACACACAAGATACATATTGTACATACGTATACATATACATATGGATGTATTATAAAACGATGAGCGGATGTGCAGATCGTAAGTTCTAAGTACTAGTAGTGTAATAGCAGGGCTGTTGATTTTTCTTTTTCGTCTACTATTAGGTATTAGTTTTTAGCGGTTACGATCATTACTCTACTACTATTATTATTATTATTATTATTATTATTATTATTATTATTATTATTATTACTACTACTACTACTACTACTACTACTACTATTACTACTACTACCACTACTACTACTACTGCTACTCCTACTACTACTACTACTACTACTGCTACTATTACTCTTATTATTATTATGATTATCATTAATGTTCTGATTATTACAATTATCACGATTTTATTGTCGATTTTTTCAACGCTAACGCCACAAAAGAGTATGCTTAGGTACAACAAGCGGGGAAGCCATGACAGCCGCGAGTCAAAGAACAATGGCGCGAGTAGTTTCCGTTTCCTTCGCGAAATTTTCGCGTACGAGTCCAGCGCGGCGTGTCTATTTATTTTCACGATGCGCGAGAACAGATGATCGGGTGCGCGCGCGCATGCGTACGCGCCGAGAGGTTTCGAATCGACGGCCGGTAAAAGGAATAAAAGGTTCACGCGAGTCCGAAGTCGATCGAAGCGTGCTAAAGGGCAAAGATTGGTAGAAAGGAAAGAGGAGGGAGGTGGAGGAAAGTGGACGAATAAAAATAACAGGAACAGTGGAGCGAAACGGGACAAAAGGCAGAAAACGAAAAAAAAAACATGGTGAAGTTAAAGTTAAAAAGAGAGAAGAATATTCGCGCTAGCGTGCCTCGAACCTCCCGTATATCGTAGGCTCGTCTCGGCTATCTTTTTAGTCTTCACGCTGAAACAAGAGGAAGAACAATTCTTCTCTGCGCGCGTATGCCTGAGGCTTTTGATTTAAACGAGACGCGAAGTCACCGGGCAAGACTGATTTCACTCGCAAATAGCTGCGAGCACGGAAAAAGCGAGATAAAAGAGGAAAAAGAGAAAGGTAGAGAGGGAACGGGACGTCCTTCTTTTTCGCCCCACGGTTTTTTTTTCCTTTCCGTTCGTTTTCGGTTCACGTGAACGTCGAACGTAATATATATGTATATATATATATATACATTTGTATTCGCGGAAGAAAGACGTTAGCGCAGCGTTCTTTCGTCCCTTCCTAGCGACAAGGGAAGAGAAAAAGGCTGCTGCGTGTTTTATTTCGGGATATACGTTAGGTGCAATGGGAACGAGAGAAAAGCGATGATCTTCATGTTGGCTAGTCATTGTACAGCTCTATGAGATACTAATCGTACTACTAAAGCTGTGATTAATAAAGCCTCCGTGCATATGTTCGCGCAGCTCCTAATTATTATAGTGATAAACATATTTTGTAGCTTCTTATGATAAGGTACAGTAGGTAGCTCGTAGGTATACCTAATGAAAAGAAGTCGCAGTTCCGAATTGATCGGTCGATTCTTCATTCCGATCTCTTTTCTTTCTTTCTCTTCTTCTTTCCTTATCCCTTCCACCGCCCACTCTCCACTCTCCCTTCATCCTTCTGCCTCGATTTCTTCTACATGCCCCTTTCTACCTCACCCCTCTACTCTATCCCCATCACTGTTCTCTTCTTTTCTTTTCTTCTGTTACAAGTGCTTCACGGTGCTGGATGAGCCGGTGTATCGTTCGTGAAAATAAAAGGGACGAATTTTAAAGGAAACGATAGAGTAACAAGCGTTGCACGTTTCAAGTACTACGCGAGTCGTTGTTCTAGTATTTCGAGTAGTGGTACGAGTTTGCTTTTTTGCCCTCTGATTTTTATTCTAGATTCTTAGCGTCCGTATTGTGTATCGGTTCATTGTTTCTTTCCCTCCCTCCCGCCGTGGATAACATAACGAAAAAGAACATGCGAGGTTAGGTTTTACGTGTGACGTTTATTTGTCGTTTTTATACGGTGTCGCGTTTCGTAGGGTGATGTAATTATTCGTTTCGAGCTTTCATTTTTGTTTTTTAGTGTTTAAGAAATCGTGTTTACCCGCGTGAAACTTATTGTAGGATAATGAATTGGAGATTAACGTTTAGTAGCAGTATTATATCGTATTTTAAGAAAATGCTATAATATTTAAAAGAAAAAAAAAAAAGATTTTGTTGATGTCACAAAATTTTACGAAAATATTCGCCCATTGATTAATCATACAATAGAAATACGACTCTATCTGAAAAACTAAATTGCCAACTTTTTAAATTTCTCATAAAATTCGAGTTTTTCTATTATGTTTATTTTGTCACTGCAGTTAGGCTTTCTCGAAAAGCGTAAATAGTTGTGCAGAAAAAAATTTCAAAACACAGAATGTCAATGTACTAAAATTTCCTCGATTACATGTATGTACATAAATGTACTATCGGTTGGATCAACTAAATCAAAATTTAATATGCGAATTATCCTTGTACTATAATTTCGTATCGAACGTAAACAATGAGCGTTTATTTTTGCAAATGATCGAACGTGATACGAAAGCGTTCTTGATTTATGGAAATGATGGGACGGGTAAATCGTTCGATCGATAGAGACGCGATTTATTTATCGGTGACACAGTGCCGTATTATGTAAACGTAACGAGCGTGTCTTATCAACGAAAAAGGAAACGAGAGTTGTTTCGAGCAACGGGTCTCGGGGACACGGTATATACGTTAGAAGCGTTGTCCAGCACCGAAACGCACACGCTCCGTATCTTCCGGATCAGTTTAACGATCTCAATAATTTCAACCGCCATTCCGCGGACGTGCATGACACGGGATTTCTTGTTTTCGTTCGTGACGCGTATATCAAAGATCCGTGTATTTTTCATAAGAAGAAGGGAAAAGGATAGGTCCTTTCTTTGAAAGAGCACATGTCGGACCAATATATAAGAAAATTAAAAAAAAGAAAAAAATATGAAAAAAAAAGAGAGAAAAGAAGAAGATCGATAGGAGAAAGTGTAGTAAAATAAAAAAAGAAAAAATTGAGAAAGCAAGGAAGAAAAAAATAATAGAGAGATAAAGGAACACACACACACACACACACACATGCGCGTGCGCGCGCGTACACAGGCATAGACTCGAATAGAGTTCACGGTCGATGAATTAATTAAAAAGCGTCGCATCGTCAATGGCGATTCCTTTTATCGTGCATCACCGTATCGTGCATTATTGTTACCATTGGGAAAATTTGTTGTCATCTTTTTTTTCTTTTTTTCTCTTTTTTTTTCTCCCTTTGGTTAATTTT